ATAAATCTGTCCCAGTCTATGTCATTATGATCTTCGTTGAGTCAGTAAAGCAATCTCATTTCGTTTCAAATAGTAATGGGTAACAGTTATTCCACAGTGATAATAAAGTCGTACCAATGGCAGTAATTAGAATTTGGTACAGATCACAAGACTAACATATTGGTCTTGTTTTAAATCATAAGAGGTTTCTTGCGTAAATGTAAAATAATATGTGTAGACAACACATAAACATAGGACAATGTATGCTATTTAGCAAAATTAAGTTCTCAGAGTTAATATATAGCAAACTTTAATGTTCATAGGTAAAATGTTTCTGGACATTGAAGTTATTCACTAAGTATTTGGATGAAGTTATTTGAAAAAACAATCAATGACCAGTAGCTAACCTTACACCAAATACAATGTACAATTTGTCAGTAACAAACTACAGAGAATCCATTTATTTACTGCTCGACAATCAGATGAGTTTGGCTAATATGGTCAGATTTGATATGCTAGTCCTAAACAGATTTCTTCTCGCTCACCAATTACCGTTGTGGTGTGTGCTACTTATATTGACATAAGCAGTATATGATGTTAGTCGTAAACAGGTCTGGCAGCAGAGACAAGAGGATCGAACAGTAAAGAATGGAGGCAGAATGCAATTTGTATGAAAATGCAAGAACAATGAAGTCTGAGTCATTTTGAGAAAATCGATGGACATTTTGCAAATTGAGCATTTACTTTATGAATGTTGGATTTTATTAACAAGTCCTGTGCTTTTGTGCTACATACATTCGATTGTTCCCACTGGTGTTCTTGTTCACTGCACCATCCAAGATATAAAACATTTTAACCAATATTTAAATGACAAAAAATCGAACATAAAGTTATTATTATTTGGGTTGGGAATACAAAGGTTTTCATGATCGTGGCTTTTCTTAAGGTGCCGATCTTTGCAACATTACTTCCAACTAGTGATTAAATGTTTGTTGCTCGAAATAATGTAGACTATCTAGGTCAGGATGCAGTCCCAAATTGGCTAGCATCCCTTTAGAAAGGTTCTTTTCTAAGGGATGAAGTCGCTAACCTCATGACCATTTCTCCTCCTTTATCTGGGTTTCAGACAAGTAACCATTGGAGGGCCCCAGGCAGAGGATGAGCTTACAGCTGAGGTGGGAAATAGAAATAAACGCTGGAGGTGGATAAAACATACATCTTGGAAATCATCAGACTGTATCCCGAGGGAAGGCTTAACTTGAAAGCCTTATTGTAAAAGAAAAACAGGTAGGCCAAAGAACACAGTGCGGACAGACATCAAAAACCCAGAATATGGTTGAAGATTGCTGGTCGGTAACCTATCCTCTACGAGTTAACAGGTATAGAAAAGCGGCTGATGTGAATCAAGTGGAACAGAATGAGTGCATATTATTCTACTCAAATATTTACTGATTTTCTCTTCAAGATTATAAAAGGGACTGTATATATTACTATCATTATCATCACCATGATTACTGCTTGTTGGTGTAACTACTATTAATTGTATTATTCTGTTTATCATAATCATAACGATTTTTACATGTTTCTTGCATTCTATTCCTTTATAAATTGGTTACAGACGTAACACTTTACAACTGCTTGTATGCTATACAAAGGTCTCAAACTATCAACGTCATCGTCTAGTCCCAGAAGGTTTTAATTTACCGATTAGGAGGCTTTGTATTAACAATATATTCGTTTCAAAGTTATATTATAATATGAACATTCTACTCAAACTCGTGGTGTGATGTGAGAACTTATAAAGTATTAAATCATCTGACGAATACCAGTTTCATTTGACAAATCTGTTCATGATTATTTTTTGTCCAACTTTATTGAATAGATAGAGAAAAGGGTAAGATAATAGACAACTACAACTATTTCAAGATGTACTGACCATTTTAAGTGGGTTAAAAAATATGCTATAGGATAGATACGAAAAGACAATGTGTCTCGAAAGTCAGCTAGCTGATTCGAGTGGTGATTTAGTGGGCTTGAAATAGGTTGTTAAGGTTCTTGGCCGCAAACATTCACATCTTAGTCATTTGATCAATTCTGATATTTAGGTCATAAGATTGGATATACTAAAATCGGTTTTACAAAATTAAAAAAATATAGTACATTGAGTTTATGAGCTAAGACAGAAGTATAGGTAGGGTAGTAGGTCCTACTATAATGTACTCTCCCGTACTGATTACCTGAGAGTTAGTTTATTCTTTAATTATCCAACAGGTGACATCGTCTGTAGCAGCGGTTATTCCTTACAATAGTTGGAAAATCTTTCTAAGAAATATATACAAATAACTACTTTGTGATTTCGAAAAATCAAGACGTAAGAAACCTGTTATTTCCAGAAATCAGTTTCGAATGTTCTGTCAATCAGATCATAATAAGTGAGAATCCATTGACCAGATGTACCTTAACCACACAGTAATCATATACTGTACTAACTTTTTGACTACTTTCTGATAGACTCATTAGAATGGGGATGTTAAGGTATGGCATTTTCAACTATCATGTAGTAAGGTTTGAAGTCCGCCGTACTTCCGCCAATATGAGTGGTCGAGTAGTACTTACTATCCTTCAGACAATAAAGTAACACTCAAAGTTGAGTATATGAACTTTTATCTGGTAGGCAAGATGTGTAAACTACGAATGTAAATAATAATGATGAGTAAAACATAGAGACCGAATACACCAATAATTGAGATGAAAGCACCAGGTAATACTTTGAAACCGAAACTTCAAAGCTGGAAGGCTATGGCATCACTTATAAGATAGAGCAGAGATATTATAATGCGAGTGGAACCAATAAAAGTATTTATATGCTCTAGGTAAGCAAATAGTCATTTTTGTACAAGATCGTGGAAAAAAGCAGACACGTATAAATTATTCCAAGATAATAGCTTCAAATACCCGGAATAAATATTCATCCTCCCAAGTTGCTGCGCCAAAACATAACAATGAAATAAAATTGTCAAGATAAGTACCAAAATATCGGAAGTAGTGGTATTTTATTTTATTTTGTATTTGAACTCATAAATATTGGTACAAGGGGGCATCAAATATATATGCGCCGCACGAAGTAGTGGTATGTAATATGTGGAAAAGATTAGACATACGAAATGATCCGAAGAGCGAGAAAAAATTTACAACACATGCAATTTGAAACTCCGAACCTAGGAGTAGGGAATTAGTGAATGAGTCAACACTGCGAAGATGGATTCTGAGCCACTTAAAACAACACACTCAGCAACTCAGACCGCGGGGTCTTATCTTACCAAGATAGATCAGAATGAAAGTTAGTGGATTCATGTACTGAAGCCGCGTCTTATGTCAGTTGCTCTTATATTTCTCCCGATTTACTAGTACACCAGCTAATAATGAGCGTCGATGTATGCGACGGTTGGACACACGTAATGTATATGCCAAACTTCTTAGTTAATAAAGATAGACAACCCGTCAACCGATTTGTCATATTTGCCTGGTAACTTATACCTAACCTCAATAACATTCAATCAGTTGTTCAGCAATACAAGACCAATTTTCAAAAGACACCTAAAATGGAAATCCAGCATGAATACTGTTTACTTTCATAGGATATACTTCACAGCTGTAGAGTAGTACACAGAAAGATTGTCATGAAGCACGCTCATCCTCTGATCAATAGACAGGAATCTTCATTAAGCCACAATTAATATAACCCGCAAATGCCAATTAGCCCTTCTGAATCCGTGCTGAGATTTTATTAGGCGCCAAATGATCTGGCCTGATGGGATTTTCAAGACGTGAAGTGGTCAAACAGCTCAAATACTTCACCCACTATGGCCGATCTAGAGGATGATGCATGAAAGTTTAGAAAAGCATGTGTTTAGAGAAAGACGTACCTAAAACAAACTTTGATTGTTACTCAAGACAATAGAACGACTTGTATATGAGCCTTTTTACCAAATAGAACTACGTCATCGAAGTCGATAAGCGAACCTCCTGGTAAGGATAAATCCCTGAAAATTTAGACAAAGTATTGGTTCCGAATGTTTCGATGACAAAGTTAAATTAGAATGAGGAACATGAGCAACTCTGACGAACACTGTACGGTGTTACCAATACTGGTGACAGTACACCATAAGCTCTAACTTGGCTAATATTTAAAAGAAGAACCTTCAGACGGGTCATGTAAGCGTTTGATTTGACTTTCAATGAAACATACTGTCTTGAGAAAGAGGTCAATCGATGGGGATGAACGATACCTTTAAGTTAAGAAGCAAACCACAATCGAGAGTTAGAATACATGTCTACGTTTCAGAACCTAACGAATGGTGAATGTTTGACCGACACATATACGTCTAAAACCAGCCTGGTCATCGTTTTAAACATAGAACGAGAGGAAAAGACGAAATGTGAAACAAACACTGAACACATTACATGAAATCATATCTGACCTGTACTCAATTCTTCTAAACGTGCTATCAGCCGTAACGTTGTAACTGCAGACACATCAGCTAGCGACATTTTTGGAACAATTTTACGATCACATAAGTTGGCTGAATTGATTCCAGTCACATCATATACCTGAAAATCATTCAACATGATAAAACAACAGCTTACAGCCTTAACTCTACGCCGCTTACTACACTTTTTCAAGTGTTTGTTAAGATTTGAAGGGCTGACGAAACTATGAGAGGACATTGATTTTGAAAAAAAGAGCTTACTGTGTTGGATCCATTGGACAAGCCATTTTAGCTATGGATGGTTCCTAAATCTTGCAATTATACAAAATATCGAACACTAACGCTAATGTGGTAAAAACAGCGATCTGAACCCTTAGCGCGAAGTTGATGACAAAATTTATTTTTTTCCTTCATAAAATATCCGCATCTTTCTTCACACTCCATTAAGAAGTCGGTAACTACTGAAAGTAAAAATTGATTGTTGCAAAGTGAGATTTAAAGTAAATACAGAAACAAAGGTTTTTTATTATTCTATTCTACATCTTTCATCAAACTATCTAACGGTGAAGCATACTCATCCATGAATGATTTATAATATACAGGATGAGCTTTCAAACACCCTAATAACTGAGAATGAAGTTGAATAAACAAGTTTCGATTTTGTTGTTTTTCAAAAGCGTCCTCGCTTTTTAAAAATTTGTCAATATTCTGCATAAAATTTCGAAAGAAGTATCCACAAGGACCGGATATGTATGAACTAACACAAGAGCAATGCCAATTGAACTGGCCATCTTCAGTTCGAAATCCAGGCTTTGAAAATTTACGATCGATATCGTAGTAGTCTTCTAAACGCAACGTTGAGTGAGCCTCTTCTCTGGTTAAAAATGTAACACCGTGTTTGATTGGGTTGGACATGTTAAATTCCTTTGCGATGACTTTGATTCAGGAAACCAATTAAAAGAATGAAGTGATGTTGATAAACTGTTGTTTAGATCACGAATCTAACGACCATTAAAGATCCACACAATAGTGCATAAACTATGAAACAAAAATGATAAATAGTGAAATGTTATATACAAAAAAAGCCTTTGAGGATAACACTTTAAGTTTTCTATTTCCAGAGGAAAACTCTATGCCTATAGAGAATGCTTACATTTTCTACTGTGGGAACGATAACTGCATATTACTGAACGAAATATGCATCGAAGAAAACATTTCTTGCAGTCCTTGGTGTGTAATTAATCTACACAAAATCTTGGTTAACAGTTCTCTTCGTTACTCTTATCATAAAAGAGTAACTAGTCGGCTGAAATTTCCAATAGCATAAAAGCACCGTTTCAACAAAATTGAACGCGTAAAATAATGTCGAGAGCATAACCTCTATTCTATTTCCGTTTAGCAGCATTGCTATTATAATTAACACGTGGTTTAGACCACCTAGAAAATCCAAGTATTATCAGAAATTGTGAGGACGAAAGGTAGACGAATTCGTATAAAAACTTGATATCAAAGTTATAGATGTGATAACTATCAAGCACGGTGCAATGAGACAACAAGCGCCTTAGAAGATCAGGTTTGCCTTCAAAATGCTAGGATTGATATAGTTAAAACCTGATTATTATGCTAGAAGATATTGCTTTTATAGTTAAAAATTAAAACAACCTTTTCAATGGGTTTGAAACTAGCACGAGATTGGATTAAACTGACTCTGTTTGCCATTTTCGTCACTTTCACGTGATTGGAATAAAAACTCTAACTCCGAGTATGCGGACAAAATTGACTCAGAGTGATATAAAATGTTGGACGGATACTCTTTGATTACCCAGCAACTGATGCTTGTCAGAAAAGGTGTAGAATGTGTATTACAAATCAAAATATGAGACTGAATAAATTTTTCTACACACCAAAAGATGCAGGTGAAGATAGCTAGCCTCTGGAGCGATAAAGCTCAACATGAAGACCTCCATATCTTAGAAGAAGCACGGGATACAAAGACAGCTTAGATACACCTACAAGATTTGGATTCGAAAGTGACCTAGTTTTTCTATCTCATATACAAAAAATGCAAGTGAAGGCAGTTAGTGTATGCCTCAATATACACAAAGGAAGAAGCAAGGTCCAGAAACACAACAAAGAGAGCATCAATCATACTACAATTAATGGAGAAGCTCTGTAGGATGTGGAAACTCATGCACTCTGACAACACCACCAATAAACAAGAATCTCATGCAGATATAAAGGCAAGGGCTGGCAAAGTTAGGACAGCATTCCTACGGTTGGAGAACATATGGAACTCAAAACAACTGTCAGTCAACATCGGAGTCACAACATTCAACACGAACATCACGACAGTTCCACTGCACGGAGATGAAACTTGCAGAACTATTACAATCAACAGTGATAAAGTACAAGTATTTATAAACGATTGTTTACGTAAGATACTCCAAATTCTGTTTGCCGAATACTACCAGCAACAAACTATTGTGCGAGAGAAGAAACCAACTTCCAGCTGAAGAAGAGGTTTGGAAAAGACACTAGAGGTGGATAGAACATACATTACGGAAATCCTCAAACTGCATCATGAGGTAAGCGTAAACTTGGAACCCTGAGATGAAACATAAAAACGAAGACCACAGAAGACACTGAACTTAGAATTGGAAGCAGATATGAAAAGAATGAATAGCAACTGGAAAAGATTGCCCGGGTCAGAGTTGGATGAAGAATGCTAGTGTGCGGCCTACACTCGACCACAAGGGGTAACAGGAATAAATAATATGAGACTGAATTTTAGTCTTAAATACTGAGAAGTCAAGATGTTTGGTAGCTGCCCAACAATCTATATCTGTAACAGCGGTATTTGTGACAATACTATGAGACATACCATAATCTGATGAAAAACATGTAAGTAATGACAGCAATCTCGTCACACTAAATTTAACAGCTCTGACAGATGTAAGTTAACTCAGAAGCACTATGTAGACAGTACACGGTTCAAAAGTGCGATTGTCTGAACGGATAAACCTTTTTTGTTTCCATGCAAGTTGAAGTATAATTTACTTCGAATCAGTGGGTCACAGACTTAATAAAATCTCTGACTTCACAACCTATCAATCAATCACAGTTATTACTACGACAAACATCTGGAAAAACAAACATAACGAATCGCGGAAAAATACCTTTAGCCTAGAACACTTAAATTATGTTCCATAAACACAAAAAATGAGACTGAATAACAAACCAAGGTCAAAGGTGATCTGAAACAGATAGATCAGGATTACGGCTATATGATAAGTAGCTTTATATGTGTCAAGGCATAGTAGTACGTTTGATCATTTGTTTACAAGTTTGCTGTTATGAACATACACATTTATATGTATATACTGAAGAGTGCAATCGAGACGAATATATATATATATATATATATATATATATATATATATATATATATATATATATATATATATATATATGGGAGTAAACAGTTGGGAAATTGATGAAAAGTAGTTTTCGCTTTTGCATCAATGAAAGCTTATTTGTTCGAAACCACGGCTAATTTATTAAATATAGATGAGGAGGAACTGTTATTCTGTTAGATAACACATGGTTCAAATTCATTATTTTTTTATCTCTCACTGTTTCAACCACAAAATACAAGCGGGACGTACGTAGGCTGAGACTAACTTATTTTGGTTCTAGTGGTTCAAAAAATATCATGATCATCATTACAGAACCTTCCAAAATAAATGATCTCTGCCGTTACGTAATATTGTGTTTGAATATAATAACAACCTCTTGGCATGGAAATACAACTACTTAAGTTGTTGATGCGATTTGCTATGACACATCTGCTGCACAAAGTGTCCTGTGAATAGGGAGCTCTAATCCAGGTTTACATAACGGGAAGCTTTTCAGTACAGTAACAGTTATACCAAACGTTTTTCCTGTTTAATACCTGATGACCTTAAGACAAACACGATAGTAACGTGCAACTTCAAAAAGTGGAGTCAGATTCAATCTTCAGTAACACAGTAGGAGGTCTATCGAACTATAATAATCGTTGCAATTTGTAACACAGTGGAGGTCTAATCTCGTTTTGAATATATCAATAAAAGATGCTGGTATTGCAAGTTCTGGTAGAGAATTCTTCTACTTCACTACTTGGTGCGAGAAACGAAACTCCAGACGTAGACGATTCGATTTCAGTTTTTGTACTTCCTTCGATTTAGATTCTGATTTGTGTAGTAAAGATAGAAGGCTTACGGTCCATTTTATTCCTTTTCTAGTATGTTTTTGTGAGTGTCCAGTCTTCTCTTGTATGAGCCATTCGAAGGTTCGGACGTCACTGCTTCGGGAAACACGTTTCAAGAATTGATGACTCGGTATAAAAACCTGTATGCCACGGGTGTGTTGTTCGTTCATGACTATTATACTCGCCTGTTACGTCCTGTGAGATGTTTCCATCTAGTGGAAAGAAAAAAAGAGGATATTTTAGGACTTAAATCATTTCTTATCATTAGATGTATCAAAATCAGGTTACTTGTCAGTATGCGATAGGAAAGAGTAAAAAGGTCTAGATTTTCAAACCGCTGTTTGTATGTTAAACCACGAAGTTCTGGAATTGTACGGGTAGTTGCCCTTTGTACTTTTTCCAGGATAATCAAGTCACCTTTTAAACAACGTCTTGCAGCCTGAACGAAGTTTTAAAGCTTAGCTCTCACTAAGGTTGTGTATATTGCACTGAACATGGTAGTATCTAACTTGGTGAATGTCCGTCTTAAAACCTATGGGGTTCCAAACCTCTTAGCTGTAACCTCCCGGCAGTGGGCCGTCATCATAAGATCATGACTCACTGTCACCCTAAGTTTCTCGTGAGACCGGACCATGAGTATAGGCACTTCACCTATGCTATGCCTATTTACCGTTGTATCCACAGGGCGCATGTCAACATTTTTGCCGTGTTGATAGACATCAGCCATTAGATATCACAATACTTAATTTTGCCTGAAGTGTACATGCGTCACCCGTTATTTCTCGATAGATTTTCACATCATTAGCTTATAGTAGCTTCGGGAACGCAACTATATCAGAAGTTTCATTTACTTATACTATGGAAAGCTGAGTACTTGGGAAAGAGCCCTGTCGTAATCCACTGAGTATTGAGTACCAGAAGGAACACTTGGAATTTATTCTTACTCTCCGTCGATGACTTACCGAGAAATACTTGACTCACGTTAAAATTAGTCCAGGAATTCCCAGATTTTCCAGCCTCAAGAGTTATTTATTTTTTGCACCTTATCAAATACCTTGTTGAAGTCTATGCCAACAACATCCACTGATTTTCCACTATCTAGAGCCTTTATTCATTGGTCCTTTGATATGAGGAGGTCCGGTGTACAAGATAAACCTTTTCCGAAATCATGTTGTTCACTGATTAACAAGTTGTTGGTTTCCATGAATTTCATCATAGTCATCTTGAATAATCTTTACAGTATTTTACCACAACACTACAGAGACTGACAAGTCTGTAGTTCGATGGAAATTGTCTTGGTCTTGCTTTAATGTATTGAACTGACGACTTCATTCTTCTAGTCCGTTGGCAACTCACCCCGACCGAATGATTTATTGAATATCATAGTCAGTGATGCAGCAATATATTTTGCAATTGGTTTCGAGTTTTTAGAGTCTAGTTCATCCAGTCCTGTTGATTTTTCCGTGTCTAAAGTGCTAAGGGTCCTAAGCACATAGTCACGATCTAAACTCACTGTGTGTAGACGATGTTTCGGCTTTATATTTGGGTCTAATTCTCCGTCTAGAAGAGGCTGCTTAGTGAAAACTCTCCTGTAATAGTCTGCCATAGCCTCTACTTTTACCTGATCATATTCCATCATTTTAGATTCTTTCCCTTTCGTAATTAAATTGAGAATCCAGTGCTCGGTTATTAGTCTGCAATTTATGTACGGAAATACTCTCTTAGGTTGCATGAATACAAATGAGGCCGACTGCATTTCATGTGTTCACTGAGCTTCATAGATTGTAATTATACGCTAATTTCCAACCGAGGTGTGGTGTTCCATTGCACTTGCTGTGCCAAGGCTGATGGTGATGTTCCAACACTTCTTCTTTTGTCTTGGTAAACGCCGTATATCACAGCCTATCCAGGGATGGCCGTGCTTCTTATTGTTCGGGACTGTCCAGGATATATATGGCTGAGTTACTTGACTGTGTAACTGCCTGAAATGAGTCCATGCCTCTTCTACTGATGCATCTGAGACAATTATTTAGTTCTCAGTCGGTGCTGCAGAGTTTACCACCTCGATGTCTGCCATCTATATATTAGGATGGGATGACGTAACTGTTTGACAGGCCATCTCTGCCATGAGCTTGGATAAGATGACTGCGTGATCCCTTCTCTCTAGAGGTGGGATAAAAGTCATTTGACCGGGATCATCAACTTGTATGAAGACTAAGTCCAAGAGAGACGAGGGTCTTTGTAATTCAAATTTGGATAAACCCACATCCCCTACGGTTTAGACTATCAGCCCAACTAGGTAAAAAAAAACCAGTCAACTGAATTTCAATGTCAAGCAATTCTGACGTTAACTATGTTTCTGTTGTGGATGCGCAGGAATAGACCAATAATTATCATGTTAAGTCCAATGGTGTCCTTGGACTTTAAATGGACATTTCCTATTGGTCGATATCTGTTCACTTGTACAAAATGTTGTTTTCTATTTTTATGGTACGCTGTGGTATGCTTGACTGGTATATAAACAAAGTATGTTTGAAATATAGTGATTCATATCCCCGAGGCTGTGACTTGTGTTCTGGACTCAACTGACTGGGCTAGACAGGGAAGTGGGACTAATCGAGACTCTAGGCTGTCCGTACGTGTTTACGTGTCATTGTAATCGATCGATAACACAGGGTAGAAATCTACAACAACTTAAAGTCATAACAGTTTCCGAGACAGCAGTGACATTCAAGTTTTCTATATCTAATGTCGTCTTGAGCTCCGTCATTTTATTTTGTAGGCTGCGAGTATTTGTGTAGCACGCCTTTAATTCAGTGGGAAGCTTTCCAGACATCAGAAGTCTTAATAATAGTGAAGATGCCACAAATATACAATTTTTGATAAGGAACTTCAAGCCAGTAGTGAACGACGGAAAGTTGTGAACAAATTTCATACTGTGTGGAATATAATTTTATTAGATATCTTAAGAGATGCGAAGAATTAAGAACCTGAACGTGAACTGTTGTGGATTTTTCACGTTATGACTCTTACGTGTGGTGTGACTAGTTAGATTTATAAAGTCAGCGTCAATATATAAGCCTACAAAAGCATTCCTTTCGATTATTTATATACACACCACACATAACACAAGTACTAGATCAAATCTTGATGTACAATAAAAAGTCACTCGATTATTTCGAGAAATCAAGGCGAAACACTAAACTCCACTTTTATTAAGACGGAAACGTCATGGAACTTAGCATTTGTTAGTTAAATTACTTTTAAAAATTAATGTTGATGCAGAAGAGCTGAACGACATAAAAATGAAACAATCTCAATTCATAATATTTGTTGTTCATATGTCATAAGCGTTTAGCAATTGAGATGTAATTAGATGAAATGTCAGTCGAGGACAAATAAGCTTCTCATATTACTTAGTTCTCAAATACTAATTTTGGTTGAGCTTTTTATCCATTATCTACTTTGTATCAGAAGGCGTTTTGTAGAGATTGTAGTAACTTAAATGGTCGAGATCATGAGTCAGTTGAAGCTAGACAATCATGGAAAACCTGGAAGCACTGGATAACCGTTTCGTCCTATCTAGGACTCCTCAACAGTGCTCATCCACGACACCGCCTCGCGGAATTCGAACCCAGGACTTATCAGTTGTGAGATAGTAACTCACCGATGACAATGCAAGATGCATCAC